TGTGAAGCCTTCAGATGGCAGCTGGTTCTCGCTTTGAACCCGGTCCCCACCCTGTTAGCATTTCCACCGAGCCAGCCTTCTCCATCCCTTTCACCTCTGCCTCTGCCATCCCCCTGTCGCTGTCTCCCGGGCGGACTGCTGGTGCCTCCAAAGCAAACCCGGGCACCCAGGGACGGGGGACCAGAAGCGGCGCTGACCCGCAGCTGCACCCCTCCCGGCTCCCAGCTCTGTACCCCCTTACCTGTGCAGGGCTCCCATTGCTGGGTGCCTTGGCCTGGGGTCGCCAGGGCCGAGAGTGCCACACACAGCATCAGCAGGACAGACATGGGGGGTCCGGGTCCCAAGCTCCATCCAGGGGCCCTGCCCTCGGCCCCCAGCTCCTCCTCAGACACCTGGGCCAGCCCTTCCGGGGGTGGCAGCGGGGGTGGGGACGGCGGGGGACAGTCACTGTGAAGGCCACATGCCAGAGTCCTGCGGCAGGGACAGGCGGCCAGCAGGGGGGCAGGGGGCAGAAAGCTTCTGCCGGCTCTGCGGGGGGGGGACAGCTGGTATGGGCAGGTCGGGGCGGCAGCCTAGCTCATCTCCGCACAGGCTTGGGTCCTGCCGCGCAGGTGACAGGTGATAGCATCCCAGCACCACGGAGATTACTCATTGGCAAAGCACGCTTTTCCCAAAGGAAAGACAGAAATAGATCGTCCAGCGGAGAGCTGGAGCCAACCAGAAAAACTCCGAGAACCTGTTCTCCTCGGGTGCAGATCCTGGGCTGCCTGCCTTAGGACAGCCAGCCGCGGGGGGGCCAGGGCGCAGAGCCTCTGCCGGGCCGGCTGACAGCGGCCGTCCCCAGGAGGGGCCCGGCTGTGAGGACGGCTTTTATCTGGTGCCCGGCCCTCCCCAGGGTGTGTGGGTTTGTCAACTGTTGGGTTTCAGGAATTCCCCTCCGGAGGGAAGCCAGTCCTCCCCGGGAACGGCTAATGAGAAGACTCGGGGAGGACCGCCCGGGGGAGGGGAGCGCCAAGCACACAGCAGGAGCCTCATTTCTTCCAGAGGAGGCCCAAAGCTCTGACCTCCCAAAACCACAGTGGACACGAAATGCTGCCCCAGGCAGGACAGCTCTTAAGTGTGATTGTTCTTTTTTATAAAACCCCGGGCCCGCAGACCCCTATCCAGGGCTTACCGGGGCCTTCATCCCAGGCCCCGGCCGGTGCCAGGTGGCTTCCCCGGGTCCGCAGGACCCCTTTCATGGGCCCCGAAGGGACATCTTCCTCACTGCCGAAGGACAGTGCTGTGGCCGCAGACACCACGCCCGCCCCCAGGTCTGGGGCTCGCCCGCAGGTGTTTGTGACCAGGGCAGACCCTGGGCTTGGGCTTGTTGGGGGGGCTGCGTGGGGGGAGATGAGAGAGACAGAGACAGAGGAAGGCAGGGGAGAGAGAATGTCCAAGGCTCTGCATGAAACTGCTTGTGGCTGGAGAGATTCTCTCTGTCTCTGTCTCTAGACAGACAGACAGACAGACAGCTCCAACAGCTATTAACAAACGCCTTCTGTTCTAGTCACACGGTCTGGGTAACTGAGGTCCTCGGAGGGAAACCTGGAAAGGTTGCCTGTGACCGCATGCACAGCGCCCGGTGGACCCTCGGGGGGCCTCCCTCACCCCTGCTCCGGGACCCCCGCCAGCCAGCGCAGGGGCGGAGCCTTCCTGACCCCACCGGGCAGGTGCCCATCCCGGGATGGCGGACAGAAAGGACACAGCTGTGTCTGAGCCAGACAGAGTCTTGCTCTCTCCCTTTCCCACTGGCAGAGAACTTTGAGGGTCTCGGTGGCCCTGGGTGGCCACGGGTCAGGAGGGCAGGGGACTTCCCAGAGGACACAGACCCAGGCAGCGTCCCTGTGACGCCCACTGACCTCTCCACCTGACACTGACCTCTGACCCTACGTCTCCTGCTGACCTCTAACTGTTGGTAAATGATTGTGCATCATGTTGTAACAACCGGGTCTGAGGAATCACAACCATGCCACCCTGAGCCCTCCCAGGACAGTCTCCTTCTGTTATGTTCCATCCAGGTAATACCAGCAATGCTCAGTGACAAACAAGGGCTCATCGGGGGAAATCCCGTTCATGCGTACAACTAGAAAAACACGGGCCGAGCGCAGAGAAAAAGCTCAGAACTTCCTTCTCCGGACTGGTTCCTGTGTCACCCCGGACAAGCCACTTAAATGCTCCACATTTTAAATTCCACATCTGTAGGAAGTGCCCGGTGAGACCCGCATTGGCGGGAAGAGCCCGTAATTTAGGTGCCGGATGTAATTTATCTAAAGCGGCACCTGTGTGAGTTTGTGCTGCCCACGGGCTCGGAGATGCTGGTGAGGAGGAAGAGCGGACACGAACGCAGGAGCCCCTGTCCCTCCCTGGGGCTCCCGAGCAAGAAAGGAAGCCCTTTCCTCCAAGCACCCTGGCCCTGGAAACGCCTCACCAGCGGCCCCAGGAGTCACGCTGATGCAGACGCTGCTGAGAGCAGCAGGTGTGAGAGCAGAGTCCCCGCCGCACACCACAGACCAGGGCGGCTGTGACGGCTCACAACCCGCCGGAGCATCACAGAGCCGGGTTTGCACGCCAGGGGACGCAGGCTGGGTAGTCAGCGAGACACGGGCCAACCCGCCCGGAACGGAGGCAGGAGCGGCCGACCGTGCATCTGGGTCTGCTCACTGCCTCCAGAGGAAAAACAGAAATCTATCCCTGCACGGACGTCTCCTGTAACTTAGGTGCAGACCGTCACTCCCCTCATCCACTGTGGTGACAGAGGAGGACCTCATTCGCTCTGCGGGAGACACGGGTTGGTCCACCAACACGCACGCCACGGGCCTCCGTACGTGGCCACAATGCGTCGCCGTGTGGCCCGAGCGAGTCCGCCTCTCCCAGGTCAACATATCCCAAGCAGGGAATGACGCTTTCTCCAGGAAGACGAGGAGAAGTCACAAGCAAAGGGGAAATCTGAAACAGTAACTCCAGGTTAGAGAAAGAAGACGTGAGGCCAACCAATCACCCAGGTTGGGGCTCTATTAGACTAAGTCGGCCCTTTGGGAGGTTAAGTTGAACCTCAGGGATTCTCAATAAAGATGCAAAAATTCCTCCGGAATATAGACCATAATGTGACATTTAGTGACCCCGGATTGAAAGGGTCTCCGGGGAAGAAAGAGCGCCTGGCGTGTGACGGCGAATCCAGATAGGCACCCGGCAGGCTTGCCCCCACTCAGCGCCCAGCCTTGCCCCCGTCGGCCACTGGGCCACTGTGTGCAGGAGTGCGGACTAGAATCCCGTTCTAGAAGTGACTTAGTAAGGGGGGCTCGTTACTGAAGGAGAGAATTAAGGGTTTGTTTCTCTTGTCATGTGATGAGTCCTGTGGATGGTGGTGCTAGTAATCCTCCACCTGCTAAAGGATGGCTGCACATATTTCCCCCTATCACTTCTTTTTTGATCCTTTAAACAATTTTTCTGATGCTTTTGTCTTTTGCCAAGTATTTAAAATTTTTATTTAGTCAGCAACATTTTCCTTAAGACTTCTAGGTCTTAAAATACAACTTCTAGATGTCTCTGCTGTTACGCTGTGTTTCTGTTTGGCTCCCTGTTCCATCTGGGGTGTGATCTGGGATATCTGGAATGCACTGACTTGAGCTCCGTCTCCAGAAAGCTGTTATGCACGCACTATTTACTAAATGCCTCTCCTTTCCCCACCACCTTGAAATGTCACATTTATGATGGATTAGGCCTCTACACATACTTGGAACTATTCCATTAATCTCTGTTCCACTAAATCTCTTTGTCTATTCCCTTTGCCAACACATTATTTGTGCATGTTTACAGTAAGTGCTCATACCTATAGATCAAGGGCACACACACTAGCTTTCTCGCTTCAAAAACGTATTGGTGGTTCTCTTTTTCCCTTTCATAGTTTCCCTTTCATGTGAACTTTAAAAATTATTGGTTCTCATTTCTACCTCCAAAACCAAAATCAAACAAGCAAAGATATTATAGGAATACCTATTGGAATGGCAGTAAGTTTATAGATTAATTTCAGAATAATGGACATTTTTATGATACGAAGTCTTCCCACTCAGAAACATGGATATCTCTCTGTTTATTCCAACCTTGAATTAAGCTCATCAAAAAAATTTTACAGTTTGATTACAGAGGTCCAGCACATTTTCTGTAAAATTATTCCTGTAAATGTCCTATACATTTATTTATAATTTTATCGTCATTATGAACATTATCCCCCCCATTTCTACCTGTAATTAGTTATTGGTAGTATAAAGAAAACTGGTTCATTTTAGTACAACTATCTTGTATCTAGCAACCTTAAACTTACTGATCCTAGAATCTCCCGTTTTTCTAGATAAATACTGTCTGCCAAGAAGAGTAATTTTGGCTCTTCTGTTTTAATATGTGTACCAATTTGTTTTCCTTCTCTTTTACTTAGAGTAGGAATGACCACGGCACTTTCTCAAATTTTTAAAAATTATTTATTTAAATTCAGTGTAGTTAACATATGGTGTATTATTAGTTTCAGAGGTAGAGGTCAGTGATTCATCAGTCGTATGTAACACCCCGTGCTCAGCCCATCACGTGCCCTCCTTCATGCCCATCACCCAGTTACCCCCTCCCACCAGCCCCTCCCCTCCAGCAACTCTCAGTTTGTTTCCCAGAGTTGAGAGTCTCTCATAGTTTGTCTCCCTCTCTGATTTCATCTTATTTTATTTTTCCTTCCCTTCCTCTATGCTCCTGTTTTGTTTCTTAAAATTCCACATGTGAGTGAGATCATCTGATGACTGTCTTTGACTGACTTATTTTGCTTAGTGTAATACCCTCTAGTTCCATCCATGTCGTTGTAAATGGTAAGATTTCATCCTTTCTGGTGGCTGAGTGGTATTCCACTGTATATATGAACCACATCTTCTTTATCCATTCATCTGTTGATGGACATCTGGGCTCTTTCCACAGTTTGGCTATTGTGGACATTGCTGCTATAAACATTGGGGGGCAGGTGCCCCTTCGGATCACTGTGTTTGTATCCCTCAAATGCTTTTGCACATCAATTGATATGACTTCATGTGTTTTCTATGTTAACTTGTCAGTGGACTGAATTACAGTGCTCTCTTCCCTAATGCTGAGCCACCCTTACATTCCTGGCATAAAGCACAGGGGTCATGGTGCATTTTACTTGCAAAATGTTGTGGGACTCCAACCAACAGTTCATTAGAATGCTGCCTTCCTACTCACGTTCTTCTCCTTGCTCTCTCTCTAGGTAACCTCTCAGGCTCCCATCTTCCCGTAGACTGAAAAATGTGTGTCTCAGCTCCACCTCTATGCTGAGCACCAGGCTGCTCCCCTGACACCCTCCTGGGTGTCACAAAGGCACGGTCCAACAACTCCTCACCCAGGGCTCCAGGCCAGAAACCCAGAACTCATCCTTGACACCTCCCTCAGGAAGTCCCTCTGAGTTTACCCCCAGACACCTCTGCCTCCTACAACCCGTCACCTTCCTGGTCTGGCCACTTTCATTCCACACTGTCACCGTTCGGCTGGGTCCTGTACCCTCTGGACCTCCGCCTGGTGCGAGCAATCTCTGCAGAACCCAAACCTGGCCAGACTGGTCTCCCTTCTGGCTTCCCACTGCTACCCAAATAAAGACAGTGTTTGGGGCATGGCCTACAAGGCCCTGGGCTTTGAACCTGCCCAAACCCCGCTGCACTGTCACCCCCTATACACACGGCCCCCCTCCAGGCTCCAGCACAACCTAGATGTGCCTCTTCCTACCAGGGTTGTTCCCAGGTTGGGCTCTCTCTCGACACCCTTGTCTCTCCTTGGCCTAATTAACTCCTCTGGGGAAAGCCTCCTTGTTAGGGGCTCTCAGCACACCTCCTCCACCTCTCCTTTGGGCCCCTTTGATCACTGTTGAGGTGATCCTGTGAATGACATGTGTCTTTCTCCCCAGGCTGGAAACTCCAGGCACCCAGACTATGCCTCTCTGGGCTCAGCCCTGTATCCTGGCATTCAATAACGTGTAATCAGTTCGTGAACTTACTATCTTGATCATCGGGTGATGTGAAGGTCATGCTCGCTTGATAAAACCAACTCAAGCGCTCTCCATGCTTTTCCATGCTCTAGAAGACTTTAGTGTTAAGAATTCGTTTTCCACAGACAAACTGGGTCTCATTTGTGAAAATGTTTCAGCCTTCTTCTTGCAACACTTCTTTAAAACTTTTCAATTCTACAGAAAACTTGACCAAACATTTACTTTGCCTTGATGCACCCATGGGTGAGGACGTGTTGTGTTGCTTCTCTCACATGTCTGCAAGCGCCTGGGTGAACATTTTGTCTGTTGAGCCATCTGGACATAAATTCTTAATATGACCTTCACTCTAGATATTTCTGCATGTGTTTCCTTGAAAGAGGACGCGTTCCAACATTTCCACAATAGGATCATCGTATCTAGGAAAAATACCATTAAACCAACAGGGTTAGCGAATACGGTGACCATATTTAAACTCCAAATGGGACTCTGGATGGCAAATGTTCCAAACAGACTTCCATTTCTTTTGTTTGTTTATTCTGTTTTTCTGCTCCTTCATAGGATAATATAGATGACTTATATCCTTTTTTTTTTTTTTTTTAGGTAAACCCTACACCCAACACGGGGCTCAAACCTACAACCCCGAAATCAAGAGTCACACGCTCCACCGACTGAACCAGCCAGGCGCCCCTGATGACTCATATCTTGCTGGGAAATCACCCACTTCCTCCAGATTTTCAAATTTATTGCCAAAGAATTAACATCACATTCTCTTAAAATAAAATTAATATCTTCTGTATCTGCAATTATATTTTTTCTCGTATCTGATGCTGCATATTTTGGCATTCTTTACTTTTTCCTTAAGGTTTGCCATGAAAGTCATGTGATCCACTGGCCTTTTGAATATCCATGCTTTATTCTCTTACTAACATGGTGTTAGTCTTGTTTTTTTTCCTGGACCCAACATCTTATTATAGCTCTTCCTTTCAGTTTGTGGGCTTTCATGCATTTATACATTTTTTTGAAGTCCACGAGGACCTTCTTCCTCTATCTGGCAGGCGGTTTTAGCAACATTATCTGTCCAGCACCCGTCCCGCACGTGTGCAACCCTGAGCTCTCTGCTCTCCCCGCCCTGAGACACCACCCAGCTGATGCTCTCTTGCTGGGCGCATCCGTGTCTGCGAGCGCTAGGTGCTCTCAGCCTATTTTCCCTGGTTGGTGTCTAACATTCCTCTCTACCACAAGCTCTTACCTTTCTAGAAGTTTGTTGAATATGTTTACAAAACATGCACCTTTGTCTCATTGTCCTGAGCTGGTGCTTTTTCTCATCTAGGTGAAAAACTCTTAAGTTGCAGAAATTGATTTCCCTGAAGAAAACCTGGCAATAAGAGATGGGGCAGACAAAGCGTGAGCCTTGCAGATGCCACAAGAAAGGGGCAGAGGGGTCAGCGGGGAGGACCGAGGGGCTGAGCTGCGCGCAGGCCAGCTCGACTGGCCGGGAACGGTGGCTGACCAGGGGTGCTGTTGCAGCCTCGGGAGCGGCCAGAGAAGAGACCGCTGGGTTTGGGAGACGTGGGGTCTGTGGGGAAGCCTGAGCCCTCTCTGTGACCTTCAGCTGTGCAGGAGGAACTGCAGAACCAGAGGGGATGGGGTCGATCCCCGTTCTGCCTTGGAGTTAAAGATGCTTATGAGGCGGGGCCCATGCCAGAGTCTCGCGTGTAACATATCTCCTTACCCATAAAGCGGTATTCGTGTAACATTCTCGTTGTATACAAGAGGAGAAGGGATCTATAACTGTGCCACACTATCATTTCTAAGGTTTTAGTCTAGACCCTTCCAGAAGTCTGTATGTAAACGCACAGCTGACACGGCTTTTGCAAAGCCATGTTGTGCAACACATCTTGGCCTGTGGACAGACAGGGTGGGGTTAGGAGGCTTTGAGTCCTGGCTCCACTAATTATTAGCTGGGGATCCTGAGCAGCTGCCTCACCCTCTCTGTGCCTCTGGTTACTCATGAGCCGGATGGGATCACGATGCCTCAGTGGGCCGCGGGCAGGATTAATGGGGTAGCACACACGGGAAGCTCCTAGAACAGTCCTGGACGTGTGAGCACAAGACACAGAGGGGCTGGGGTTGTCTCTGTCATTCACTCACACTCAAAACACCTTGACTTTCTGATAAATACACACAACCTCATCCTTCTAGGGGCTGCTCCCTGGTTCTTCAGAGCGACACCTCCTGATGGCTAAATAGGGAGAGCGTTTCCCGTGCTGCTGAAACGGTTCATAGATTCACTAGGATCACAGAATGCTTGGCAACAGACAGGTCTCCCTGGGTCCCTGGCCGGCTCTGCTTGTCCCTTGAGCCTCAGGGGTGTTGAAGGCCCTTCGTCCTGAGCTACCTTGTCAAAGCTACTTGTATAGGGAACGGCCTTGGAAGTGAGATGTCCCGTCTCTTGCAGAAGCATAAGGCAGTTGTGTTCGTGGCCCACTATGCACCGAATTGTGTCCCCCTAACTCACATGTTGAAGTCCTGAGCCCCAGACCTCAGAATGTGACCTTATTTGGTAATTGGCTCATTGCAGATGTTGTTAGTTCAGATGAGGTCACACTGAAGCAGGAGAGACCCCTGTGGTCCAAGAGGACAATCCCTGTAACAAGGGAAATCTGGGGGCGCCTGGGTGGCTCAGTCGTTAACCGGCTGCCTTCAGCTCAGGTCATGATCCCGGGGTCCTGGGATCGAGCCCCGCATCGGGCTTCCCGCTCCGCGGGAAGCCTGCTTCTCCCTCTGCCTCAGCCTCTCCCCCTGCTTGTGTTCCCTCTCTCGCTGTCTCTCTCTCTGTCGAATAAATAAATAAAATCTTAAAAAAAAAAAACAAGGGGAAATCTGAACACACACACGCACCAAGGGGAATGGACTCCAGACGAAGACACAGGCAGAGACTGGGTGGCACACATACAAGCCACGGAACCCCGGAGAGGCCAGCCACGGAACCCCAGAGAGGCCAGCCACCGAACCCTGGAGTGGCCAGCCACCAAACCCCAGAGAGGCCAGCCATGGAACCAGGGAGCAGCCAGCAGACACAGCAGGGCGGAGCCTGGGGCAGAGTCCCCCTCGGGGCCCCAGGGGAAGCAGCTCTGGCAACACCTTGAGATGGGGCTTCAGGCTCCAGACAAGGACACAATGAACTGCTGCTTGTTAAGCTTTCTGACGATGGCCCCCACAAACGAACACCCTGCCTTTGACAAAACACCCAGGTTCCCTTAGCACAGGCTCCTCCCTGCGCTACAGGCCACCGCATGTGATGTGTCCCCCGTGGATATCGGGGGGAAACGCAGACCCTGCCCACGGCCCCTGCTATGAGGAATGAACAGTCCTCTGCCTCTGGCCTGGGGGGGGGGTCTCGGGTCAGAACCCACAGAACTGGGGCAGGGGAGCTGTTAGTGTGCGGGGGGGGGGCAACTGCACCCTCTGGGATTCTTGACACAAGGCTCTTCAAGTCCTGAGTGATGTTCCTTGGCCGCGAGCCAGCTGAGGTTGCTGAGGACACACGCACAGGGGCCAGGACCCCGACTGCTGGCCCTCTTCCCCCACCACAACCAACTCCCCTCCTCCTCCCCCAGGCAGCAGGGACAGGAGAAGCCCAGGCCGGCCCTCCCGGCTCCCCCGGGGCAGCTTGTGGCCTGTGCCCACAGCGCCTGACGTCCCCACCACCCATCTCAGCTTTCACCCACTGGACCCTGCGCCTGACACGGAAAGTACCGGGAGAGCCTGCAGGAGCTCCCCGTCTGGGGAGTTGGGGAAAGCGGCACAAAAGAGCAGACATTTGAGCCAGTCCTGAAATAGCAGCACATGGTGAGAACATCAGAATCTATGGATGAACTCACCCCAGCTCAAGCCTGATACCCGGTTCATCCCCTTGTCTGCTTCTCCTCCTAAATGCTTCTTCACCACTGAGCTAAACGCCCTGCGGGACCCAGTCACATCCACACCTCAGGACAGGCACCCAGAGGGACCCCAGCCATGTCCACACTGCAGGACAGGCGCCAGTCAGCCGGGTCTCAGGCCTGAATGCTCAGAGACCGCCGAAAACATCCCGGGAGAAAATGCCTTCATTTGGGAAACGAATGATGCTCAAAATTTGCCAGTGTGAGGGTTAATTCTGTGTCAGCTATAGGCTGGGCTGCAGGGCAAGAGCATCTGGGTGCTGCCATGGAGGCCTGTTCTTCCATGAGATTACCATTTAAACCAGCGCACTCTGGGTGCGCCTGGCTATCTGCCACCGTAACACGAGCGGGCCTTGCCCCATCTGCTAAAGGCCTTATGAGAAAGGGCCCTGCGAGGGAGGAATTCTGCCGGAAGTCTGTCTTCAGACTGGATCAGCAACATCAGCTCTCCCTGGCTCTCCCCCCGCCAGCCCTCTCTGCAAATGTCACCGTGGACTTGCTGGCCTCCAGTCACATGAGGCAGTTCCTTAGACTCTCCCAGGCTCTGTCAGGAGATACATGGCTCCGTTTCCCTGGAGAACTCAGACTACTAAAGTAGGAGCAGTGCTTCCTAAATTTCCTTCCAGGCACACAGGGTGGGGGGGTGCAGGAAATTGAGCTGGGGAAGGAGGAAGGGGGGGAGGAGGGGCAGGAAGTTGAGCTGGGAAAGTGAGGCTCTGGACGCTGACCTGTCTGCAAACAGGAGCTCTGCGTTTACCTGTCTGCATAGGGTTCCGTGTAATGTCCACTTAGGGGAGAAGGTTCTCTTAAACTTTAAGTGGAAACCACTGTTCTCAGGACCCTCGCTGTGGGCCCTTTATGTGGATTCAGGTGGTAGGATCTGTTTCTAGGGGCCCCTCCATTCCCTGAGCAGGTTATGACATGCCTTAGGCATTTATTTACTGTTTTCTACACGATTCTGCCCTGTAATAACATCCCAGAGCTTCTGAGAGACTCCTCAGCCTGGACTCCACCCAGATAAGCCCCGTCCAACAGCTCAGGAGGCTGTCATATTTGCGGTTCAAGGAGGGCCCTGGGAGTTTCCCTGGGAAGGCGCTGGGCTCAGCCAGGTTTGCTACAGGAGGCCTCCTGGGAGTGTTTGGAGAGCAAACGGGGGCGGGCTGAGGGGAGCTTCTGTCCAGAACAGGAGCACGTGGAGAGGAAGGCATGCTGACCGTGACTTCAGGAACACCAAACCCTCCAAGTCACAAGCCAAGTGGTGATTTCTAGAAGCACATGGATGGCCAGAGGAGCAGTTCTAAGCGCCCCACCGCTGTGCTTCCTTCTGGAGAACCAAACATTTCCCTGCCTCCCCTACTAAGTGGCTTTGGGCTTGTTTCCTGTATCCAAAGCACATTCTTGCAATCACTCAAGTTAGGTTGTTTTTTTTTTTTTTAAGATTTTATTTATTCGAGAGAGAGATCTTGCAAGCACAGGGAGCGGCAGAAGCAGAGGGAGAAGCAGACTCCCCGCTGCGCAGGGAGCCCGAGGTGGGACTCGACCTCAGGACCCTGAGATTACGACCCAAGCCGAAGGCAGACGCTTCACCGCCTGGGCCGCCCAGACGCCCCTCAAGTTAGTTTTGTTAACTAGTTATACAAGGAAAGCGGGCGCAGAGGGGACCAAGCAGCGAGGGCTGTGTGCTCTGGGCCGAGCTCCAGAGGCAGGAGGAGGGCGCTGGGCGCCTTTGCTCTGTGGCCCCCTGACAAACCCTGCTTCCGCCCCTTCACCAAGCCTGTCATTTGCAGCTTGCCCCGGACACCCGTTCCCACCTCCAGGCAAAGCATGTTCTTAAAATTCTTTACAGATTAACCCACATTAATCTAAACCCAATAAAAGCATAGGTTTACCTTCTCCTGGGCGCTGCACTGTAATTTCCCATACAACCTGCTGAAAAGACCCAGGGAAACTTAGCAACCAGCAGCGGGCCCGAGGGGAAGCTGCCATTAGCGGGATGCGAGCCGGCGGCGCAGCGGCACCCACTTCAAAGGCGCGCGGGGCGGGGCTGTCATTAGCGCACCCGGCCTCGGAGCTGCAGGGAGCCCCGCGCGCACGCACCGCCGGCACGAACAAAGGCGCCCGCTGTTTGATGTGAATCGCCCGGAGTCGGGGCTGGGGCGCCGCGGGCCCCCGCCCTGCGCCCTGCTCCGGAGACCCCGCGGGCTGCCCTCCCTCAGCCGAGCCCCTGCCCCTCGGGGATGCGAGCGGAAGGCCAGGCTTTGGGCATGCGCGCACTCCCTCCGCGGCGCCCCAAAGCAGGATGGAGATGCATGCGGCCTAAGCGCCCACACTTGTGGGACCCGGGGGGCTGCGCGCGCCCTGGGTGCCGGCGGAGGAAGAGGCCTGAGGAGCGGGGGGCTCGGCGCCATCCCTTCCCATCTGCCCCGGGCGGCCCTTCTCACCGTCTGGGGTCTTGACAGCGCTCTGAGAACGGCTTCAGCTCCACCCTCTCCCCGAGGGGCTGGTTCCCTGGAGAGACCGGCCCTGACGCTGTCCCACCCCAGCCCCTGCGCCTCTGCCCCCCTCCCCCGCTCCTGCTCCTCCAGCTCCCGCGTCTGGGCCCGGCCCGCGAGCTCCTTGCTGCCCCTCAGCCCCGTCCTCCAGGAGCTGCTACGCGTGCGACGCGCGCTCGGCCATGCGGTGGGGCCTCGCTGCAGTACTCGGGCCCGGGTGGGAGGGTGACGCAGGCTCTCCGGGCACGAGACCCTGGGGCCTCTCAGCTACCTGGCTGGCAGTGGGGCTTTCCAGCAGAGTTGCGTGTCCTCCCCACACTCAGTCGGTCTGGACGGCGGGGCGCTGGGCGGCAGCCACCGAGGGCCAGCGCCACTGAGCTGGCCGGTGCCAGGGGGCCTGGGAGAGGGGCCCTTGCGCCAGGCGGTGCGCAAGCCCAGCAGTGCACAAGCTCCGGCCCCAGGGGCGATGAGGGGTTACCGGACAGGTGCCAGCCCCCTGGGGTCGGACGGACAGACAGACGGAGCAGAGTGGAGAGCCTGGGGGGGGGGGGAGGAGAGGAAGAGCTTGAGGAAGGGAGGGGGAGTGGGAGCCGGTCCAAGGAAGAGGGAGAGATGGGGAGGGCCTGGGGCCACGGGATGAGCCGCGCCAGACCCACGAGGAGCACAGCGCTTCTCCTCCCCGAGCCTGGGTCCTCGCCTCCTCCTCTATGAGGACGCCAGCCCACCCGGGGACCCCATTTAACCTGTCACCCCTCCAAGACCCGGACTCCAAAGACCGTCCCTCTGAGGCTTGGGGGGTCAGGACTCCGACAGATGACTTGGGGACAGAACTCAGTCTAGAAGAGCCAAGGTGTCATTATTTAAAATAAAGTAGATACACAAAGCACACGGTGGTGCTAATGCTCTTCGGACATCAGGAACCGAGCCAGCAACACGGTCGCTGGACGTTGGTCCTCACGGAGCGTGCTTTGGGCGGGGTTGGGGGAGAGGGAGCGCCTCAGGCCCCTCGTGGGGCCCGCCCCACCATCGGCAGAGCTGCGTTTCTCCCCCTGCGGGTCTGAGGTGCCGGCAGGTCCCCAGCCCCCACCTTCTGCGCTGTCTGACCACAATGGTCTTGTTTGATCTGTTAGAAGAACAGGGACAGAAAGGCCACCGAACAGGGTTGACGGGCCAGGGAGCTCGGGCTGCGTCTGCCACGGCCCTAGGCCATTATCCCCAGCAAGTAAGTGACATCACTTAGACACACATTTGCTTTTAAAAATAACTTTATTTTTATTACACAAGTAAAAATAGGTTCATTGTTGAAACTTCATCACATTCTGATGAGAAAAAGGAGGAAATGAAAACTATCCATAATCTTCCTGACAGAATCACTTGGCATCATGGTGGTATAGAGCAGCAAGAATTGTGTGCTCACACATGCACACCACACACACCCCCTCACACCACACGTGCATGCACATCTTACCATACACACATGTATGCACACACGACACGTTCACACACGCGTGCGCACACACGACAGATGAGCCAGTGCACGTGGAGACACACGCTTCCCTCCTGCCCCCTCCTCACAGCTGGCGCTACATGGACCAGACGAGCTTCCAGAGGCACAGAGCCCACCCGACCCCTGCTCGGTCCGGGAGACGCCGCGGTGCCCCTCTCCTGCGGAGGTGTGCGGGGGTAGCAGCACTCCAGCCCCTTGCAAGGGTTAACTTGCTTCGCGATGACACACTCCTTGCTGACTAAGGCCCTTGACCTGTAACGGAATGTACTGACTTTGAGATTTGCAGACCACGGGCCCCAAGGAGAGAAGGACCAGAACATTCCGGCCACAGAGGCCAGCAAGCCTGTTTGAAGCCACCTCGGCTTTCTGATTAGTCCAGCAATCTTTTAGCACAATGTTTTTCAGGGCACACAAATGACTTACAGACCTCCCTTTGTGCACCTGTAGACCTGGGCCCCCTTTGCAGAAAGAACAGGGTCCTCTTGCACGTCACAAGAACCGGACACCCTGGCCCAGCCCCCAGCACTGAGACCACTCTGTAGCCCGCACCCCCGATCTGCATGTGACCAAGAAGGCTACAGCCGCTGAGCGCCCTGTGTGGGCCCGGCAGAAACCTTGGAGTCTCAGGTTTGGGACAAGGCAGAAACCTTGGAGTCCGGCCTTCTCCCGGGGAGCCAGCCTCCTCAATAAAGCTCAAATTCCTTTCCAATCCAAACTCGTCTCTTGAGTCCCTTTCAAGCGATGGGCCGCTGAACTTGGGTTCGGTACTAGGAGGGGAACTGCCCCCTGGGTGCGTGGACCGCCCCCCCCCGCCCCCGACCCCCATGCAGAGCTGACCCGTTCCCCGCCTCTGGCTCTGAGCAAAGCCAGGACGTCCCCTGCCCAGGGGGCCTCCGTCTCCTGCTGTCAGGCCCAGCAGCCTGGCAGCACTGGGGCAGGGCCCTGCGGTCTCAAGGCCCCGTCTCAGAAGCAGAGGCCCGGGACCGCGGCAGGAGCAGCCCCTCCAGAGTAGCAGACCGCCGGGCACCTTGGGGCAGAGGCAGAGCAGGTGCAAGAGGAGAGTCGGACCCCACTGCCTCAGTCCCCCATGTGCTGGCCTGTGCACCCACCTGGCAAGGGCTCCTCGGTCCTGGAGGGGCCAGAGCTGTGGTTTCTCCGGTCTTCTCAGTGGCGGAGAGTTAATGTTCCACGAGGCAGGATGGAATGGGGGCCCAGGAACTCTGTGTGGGATGCAGGAGCCCCGAGGCCTGCCGGACAGTGTCGCTGACACGATCTGAAAGTCGGGTCACGTGGGGGTGCAGTCTGGGCTGGAGAGCGCGAGACAGCCTCGGAGCTCCCGGGCCCAGGCCTGCTCGGGGGCGGTCGGGGCTCTAGCACTCCCCTGTCCAGCTGCACAGAGCACACATCCCCCCGGGTGCCCCCAGTGCTCCCCGGGCTTGTTTGCCCCACAGAGGCCCTGCCTTCTGACAGCAACCCAACATTGACAGGCTGTGTTTTCTGGCTCTGACCCAAGACAGATGGCAGGCAGAACGTGCAGACGACCCTCCCGCCTGCTGTCAGCCAACCCAAAGCTGAAGCGGGGCTCGTCCGCAGAGAGGGGAACAGAGTGTCTCCACCAGTTGCGTCATGTGCTCGCAGAATTCTCGGGGTCTCCACCCCCCAAGGGGGTCCTGAGGGGGCACAACCCACAGGCAGGCGCCATGGGGGATTGAGGTGCTAGTTCTCTCCCCGTGATGGCCAGGTAGGCCTGGATGACTTGAGATGCAGGTGTATTCGCCTTCTGGGGCTGCTGGAGCAAAGGACCACAGCACGGGGCTTCAAAGACCTGACAAGTGTCCTCCCACATTCTGGAGGCCGGACATCCCAGAGCAAGGCCGCACAGGGCCCTGCCCTTTCTGAAGGCTCTGGGGGAGGATCCATCTTGTCTCGTCCAGTCTGAAGGCTCTGGGGGAGGATCCGTCTTGTCTTGTCCAGCTCTGGGGGCTCTAGGGCCCCCTGACTTGTGCCACATCAGCCCGCACTGTGTCTCCATCGTCACGTGGCTTCTCCCTGTGTCTTCGCTCGGCCTCCACGTAAGGACACAGCCCCTGGATTAGGGTCCACCCCGCTCCAGTCTGAAATCCTCTTAACTCATTACATCTGCGATGACCCAGTCTCCAAACAAGGTCACGTTTGCTGGAACTGGGGTTCAGGATTCCAACATATTTTGGGGGGCCACAACTCAACCTGTAGTAGGTGACCAGCAAGAACCGTGGGTACTTCTACTGGCTGACCTCAAAGGTCACAAAGTCAAGCCTGGGCAGCCAAGGCAGAAAGTGCCAGGGGCTTCTCCGAGGGAGCGGGGGCCTTACTCCAACTGTGGGCTTCGTCCCTGAGCCTCCAGGGCTCCCCAGGAAAGCCTCACCTTGGGGCTGTCACACCCTGTTGCCACATCCCTGGGTCCCTGGGCCCACCAACATCCCAAATCCGTCCTCTGGAGCCACAGTGAGGCCCTGGGCACATGCGCCCCTCCCTCCCTGCAGGGCGTCCCACCAAGTGCCAGCCCAGAGCCCCTGGCCCTCCGTGGAGAGGAAACCCCTCGACTCGTCACTCGCCAAGGTGCCCACACAGGAGTGAGCAGGAGGGACAAGGTGCAGGAGGCTGCACCTCTGAGAGCCGAGCTGGCAAGGTCGGGGCCACTGCATCCACAGGAAGGCATGGGCACTGTGTGCTTAGGTGGCCTGTGGGAACCCACACCTCCACCCCACCAACCTTTTCTGGGCTAGTGTGGAGCCACAGCCTGGTCCCAGTGGGTGATGGAAACCAAGGTCTCAGAGGGAAGGGGAGGGGAGGGGAGGGTTGCACAGGGAGCAGAGAGTGATGGAGGGGCTGGATTAGAGCAAGACACCCACAGAAGTGACTTGATAGGGGAGGCAGTGAAACAAGGGGAGCAAGGCTAGAGTTTACAGAAAACAGTTGGGAAGGGGGTGAGAGGGGGAGGGGCAGGTGGTGGGGGAGGGACAGAGGAGGAGGAGTGGGGGAGGAGGGGGTGGGGAGGGGAGGGGCAGAGGGGGGAGGAATAGGTGGTGGCGGA